ATTTATTTGGGGGGGCAGGGTGGGATGCACAGAGAGAGAAGGTATTTTTAAAACCCTTTTTTTTTTCCCCCAATATGAAACTTGTTGCAGAGACTAGAATTTCTAAACATAAAATTAGCACAAACAAAATCAGTTCTAAAAAAGGTGTTTTGTAATAGAAAACACTACGTTTTCAGGAAACTGTGCAACATTTTCCAGAAAATAAATAAATAAATAAAAATCAGGAAAAACCTGATTATGTAATTCTTCTTTTCCTGGATTTCACATTGATTACCTGTTTTCCTGTATAAACAGAGGTAACAGAATTTAAAGCTACCCTAGTTACATCTACCCCAAACTAAAAGCTCAAGTCTTTGCTGGATCTACTTGCCTACAGGACCAACAACTTCAGACTATCTGCTGGGGTAGCTCTGTAACTGTAGCACCCTCTGCTGCTTTTTTAGTTCCAAAACATTTAATTGTACACTCAACCAAGTATAAAATAAAATTAATATATACTGAACATGTTGTTTCTTGGAAATGGTTACATTATTAACTAACCCTATGTGCAGTTTACAAGAAATTGTTTTGCTATTACATTTAGTATATTTGCAATTTTATACCACTTGAGCACCCTGGAATATCTTGTTTCTGTATCAGGTAGACACTAGATGAAAATCCCAAAACATGTTGTATTTCACTGCTTAAAATTCTCCTTTGCAGACACTGTAGCTTGCATAGACTGGTGAAAATTAGTAAAGAGGTTTACATTTTGGCCCTTGATCATTTCACTTAAATTAACAAAATGTATGCACATTTTGAAATTATTACTGCAGGGATGTAATTATACAAGCATTTCAGTCATAACTGCTTTCTCCCACTAGGAAGATAGTGAGAGAAGGGGAAGGTGATATTCTCAAAAGCTCACACTTGCAAATTTCCCTTGTTTTCGGAAAGTCTGTTGCAGAAAAGATTTTTCTTCTGCAAGGATGAGCATGGCATGTGGCTCCTGGAGTCCACTGATGCTATCCCACAATGACACCACTTCTGCTTGGGATCCATCAGTTCTTTAAAAGGACTATCTGAGGACTAGATACAGGCTCAGGATGTACCATCTTTTTAACAGATGGCATACTGTTGTCTAAAACAAACAGATTGATCCTTTCCTTCATTCCAGCCCTCTTTTCCCTGCCTCCCGTTTATGCATAGAATTAAAGCTGAATGAAGCACATTTAGTGCTGCATCCTGTCTGCGTGGAGAATTCAATTAGTTTTCACACAGAAACTGCGCTCTCACAAAGGATGAACAAGAGAGAAAAAATTCTCACATTTTACTGGGAAAGTGAAAACCAACTGCAACTTGCAGTGGGAATTTTCATTCACAGTAGCCATCCTACAATGAAAATGCATCTTCAGAAATCTTTCTGAAAAAGACAGAATACAAGCGTAGGTACCAAGTTTTAACAAGATGTTGTGCAGAAGCCATTTCCAGAGTTAACACTTGGGACCCTGCAATACGCCGTTTACAGCTACTGCAATTGGCTCCACTTTGTTCTGAAGTTGCACTGGTATAAAGCAGCACTTTTGAAAGCAGTCACAAGTATTCCTCAAAAGCTGCTTATTGATATTTTATATAATGCTGCCAGCTAGTGGTACATCTTGTTCTGAGTTGATATCTACTGGGAGCATAGAAGAAGTGGTATTAACCAGAGTCACCTCTACCACTCTTCTTTTGATGATTTATGGTGATGTGCCTATTAAAGACCACAAGCAGAAAGATCAAAAAGTGAAACGAAAAGACCATAGAAATGCTCCCTGAAAAAGCTCCTTTTAACACAAGGTACTTAGAAACATTACTAGAAGAAACAAAAAACCTCCCCCCAAAACCACACAACCCATGCTATTTGAAACAAATGGTTATGTTTAAAAAGGATGTAATATTCAACGTTTCAATTTTTACAGAATCTGTTTAATACACAATTATTTAATAAAAAATAACATATAGCAAAACATTAATCTTCCTGATAAATAATCAATATGGCAGCCAAAACACACAGAACACTAAAATATTTAACTGTTTTCTGATCATTTGGTCCAAATCGTCTAAGCAAGTTTAGTAGCCAGTAAATAAATTCTGACTATAACGTTCTTTTCAGACACACTGCAAAGTCTCTGATCATTCAATAGGTCCCCTCACAGAGCATGCTACTGTAGATGGGACTGATAATATGTTTGATAGTCACTAGTTCTGTTAGTGTTAGGTATTAGAACAAATAATCTATAAGTGGTAAAGACCACTTTAGAAATGTTTGGGGTTTTTTTAGGGTAGACTATCACCTCATAATATAAAGCTTTTGAAGAACACCACAGCAATTGTAAAAAATAGTCAACCTAATTTTAGAAATACTACAACTATAGTTACCCTTGGGGGTAAAAGGAGGCAGGATTATTACCTTCCATTTCCACTGTGGATTAACACAAAAAGAGCCAAGAAATACAAAAAAGTCAAAGAAAGAGCCAATTCAATCAAGGGATAATGGGAGCGTACAAAATTTGGTCAGGTATGATCTAAATAGAGCAGCTAAGTAAACACATGGTTGGGGGAACTTCACTTTGAGGGTGTGACAGACACATAGTGGCTATGACTTGGACAGTGGGGACATTTACTCCATACAGGTAGTAGCAAAAAAGAACAATTATTACAGTCCAAGGCAGTACTTCATGCTGACAGTTGATGACTATTTTAGAGTTACCCTAACACAGTGTAATCTAGAGTGCTTAGTAAAATGGGTATCAAACTGTAATATTATATCAATATAGACACTTACAGACATAGACACTTAAAAATGGGGAAGCAGCAATTCTTGAAACAACTTCACAAATGCTGTATATAATAGCACTGCATGAACCCTCACAGCAATACTGAATCCAAAAGGACAAATATGAATCTTTGTATATACAGAGAAACAGTAACAAGAACTACAGTGTCACATTACTTCTGTGTTAGCATTGGTGTTGTGCCTACTGGAGTAGTAAGTCTTGTTCTACCATCTGCAATCAACAAGAAAGTAGCTGAAATACTGGAAAAAGTTGACAGAAGAGCTGACAGCACAGCTATCAATAGTAAAGCATATGAAAACTTTAGCACATTGATTAATTTCTATTGACAAGGACATTTGTGTATATCAATCACGATCTAAGTACTCGAACAAAGATTAAGAAGTCATGTCACCATATTTAACAGAGTAAGGTACGTTGTCTTGACCCAGTATGCAACGGTTAATATTAAAGCACTTTTAGACATTAATTAAAAAAAAAAAGTTTTTTCTCTGCTGTTCAAAATAAATACCTGAGTTGTCATGTAATGAATTACAACAATATTTTTTCTGGATCCAAAACCCCAGTTTGGATTTTTTTCCTTAATTTTCCCATATTTTTTCCCTTATCGAGGAAAGTTTATGAGAATAAAGCAGCTTGTTATAGAAGTCCCTCTAGCTTCCTATTCTGAAAACCTGCAACATCAAATCTCTCTAAATGCCTCCCATAACTTAAAGCATTTTCAAATGCTTTTATCATCAAGCTCATGATGTCTACATCTATAGCTGATGTCAACCATAATTACAAATACAATTTTTTTTTTCTCAGCCTTAATATTATTAATTTGGATATTCATATATCCCTCAGATACCATTCTCATCCAGAAATCAGAGAACAAATTTCTCTTTGGCAACAGTTAAGGAATATATCCTGAAGTATCTGGTGGCAGAACCACACAACTGTCTTAAATGTTCAGAACTGAAAGCTAGCAAAGTTTACAAAGGTGAGCACATATTTTATGATTTTTTTTTTCCTTTTGAAGGCAAAGGAACAGTTTGAAACTAAACTGACCTTTTTGCTCATGAAAAAACCAACATTTACTGAAATACAGTTTTGAGATGAAACGTATATAACAGAGCAGTTCCTATATCATTGGTTTGATAAGGAGGAAAAGATATGCACACATTTCTTGAACACCTAGGAAACTTACAGAGAACACCCCCCCTTTATTCCATCAGTTTTCTTGTTTGAAAACAAACAAACCAACAAACCAGCCTGAGAAATAAAGCAGAATAATCAAATAAGGATTATGTGTATCTCTGTAATTGTTAATGATATAATAGTAATTACTCATTACATCAAAAACATTTAAATATTTTTGCTCAGCTTCTTTACCATGATCTACGACAGTTTTGTAATTCAAGCCCATTAATGGCATAGATAATTTTATTAATAAGTATACTGAAGCAGAGCCATACTGGGTCAGACACTGAAGGTCCACTTACCACTCATCTTGTCTCAGGTTAATGCAGCCAGTAACTGATGCTTAGATAAGAGTGAAAGATCATGACAAACATATCATCCTACTGCCCCATTAATTCTCCTAACATCCAGCACTTCCTAAGCCATAAGTAATGTCTTAATATTTAGCAGCCACAGTGAATTAGTGAATTTCTCTTGCACAATTTTTTTCCCTTTGCTTTTTGAATCCAAGTCACATTCTAGGATCCAAAACATCCTGTGGAGAGGAATTTCACAACTTGCCTGTGCACACTCTTGTTTTTCTCTGGTTTGAGTTTGCCCTCTCCAAGGTAGAAGCATCATTGTTTGTTTCCTGTGTTCTTGCACTGTTGTTCCTCAGATAGCCACTGCTGGCCACTGGCCAACAAATCAATGAGCTAAACTAATTTTTTTGTCCAGCCCAGTCCAGCTGCTCTAACGTTTCCACTGCAGTCACAGAACCACAGAATCAAAAATAACCTGCACCAGGATGACTTAAGGGTGTATCAAAAAATCCCAACTGTCCTACATAAAAATAGCATATCACATAAAACCCTATGGTAGGTAGATCTGTACCTCTGGCCACCATAATGGTGTTTCTCAGGTAGATTAAATGGTTATTGAGGGCTCATACAGAAATATTTTAAATTGACACACTTAGACTTTTATCAACATAATACTGTATTTAAATAAACAATGACTTACAGACATTCCCCGTGTTGTCAAAACTTGTAAGAACATCCTTAACATTTAAGAGTCCACTGTGAAATCTGGAAGAAAACATAAATAGTGACTTCAACAACATACAAACAACCAAAAGTAATAATCCTGCCTCTTCAGAAATGAGGTTCACTGTGCGTATCACTTCTCACAAAGCCCTTTCATGGACAAGCAGCAAACAGGTACTACTGTAACCACCAGGGGGAAAACAAGGGGACAATCACTTGTCCTCAGAGTTTCTTCACCTAAATTCATGAACCAAGAACGGGTTTCTCAGAAACTAATAATTTATCAAAACTAAAATATTTCCAAAGAGCATCAATTTTTGTTTAGTTGTGGAAGTCACATATAGGAAGGGAAGAATTTTGATAAATTGATTTCTTTGAAAAGAAAGAAAAAAAGACTATTTTTGAACAGCAGCTGTACACACATTCCAATTTTCTCCCACAAAAATCAAGAGCACTTCATTTAATTAATATGAACAATGAAACTGATTAATGTGTTCAGTGAACTGCATTTTCTTTGGTTTCACAATTGCATAACCCAAGTGAAATAAACATTCAAAACTGAGGATAATAAATTTACTGAATTTCACATACCAACTGCAAATTTTAGAACACAGTGAGCAAAACACTGACAGCAGCAGAAAGAACATGATCTGAATTTGGATAAAAATTTGTCTATGAAGCTTCCTCTAGATGTTACAGATGTCAGGCTAGACGGATTCACAAAAAAAAAAAAAAGGCAATGAAATTTTTTTTAAGTATTCCAAGCTAATCTAAGCCCAAAATCAACAAAACGACAACAACAACAAAAATCTTACGCTTCACAAGAATCAGATCAGGTAAGTATTTCACAAATGCATCAAAAAATCTAAAAAGAATTCAGCAAGGCAGCAAAATACAATCTTTTAATAATGTTTCAAATATAGCTTCTAAGGTGTTTAGGAACATGCTAATTTGAAACACAGAAAAAGTAGAAGAAATCCAACAATTCTAGCAGCTAAAAAAGTAGTTCTCATTCTCTCAGCTTTTCTTTCCAGAAGAAAGACTGTTATAAGAATGAGAAAAAAAAACCCAAACCATATCCTTTTGCAAATATGAAATTTTATATTTCTAGTGGAAAAAAGCTATTTGTAGCTTCTGATAAGCATAAGCATTAAAGAAACATTTACATGTTAAATTCTGAGAAGCACCAAACAGCAACTAACTCTTAAAAAAACTTAAAATCAAATGGAAATCACATTAACAAACTGAAATGAGCTCATAAAGAGGGGCAATGAAATTTATGAAAGATGTTAGAAAAGATTCAACCGGACATTAGAGCTCTTCTCCCAGCTACATAAAGCCAAACCAAAAATACATTCCTACAAGAAACGTACAAGAATTCTGATGGATCCTGTGGACTTAAAATGCGCTTTTTATTCTTTTTTTTTTTTTTGGGCAAGTTTTTTTCAATCAAATTGGACAACCAACGCAACAGAGTTAATTCAAAGGAAGTGACAAGAAAGTGGACAGGACCAGTAGTTCTGCCAACCACAAAGCTGCCCTTTAAACTGTCCCCTGCTGACTCCTTGGCATCCCACAAACTCCGTAACCGTGCAGATGTCTGACACAGTTAGGGTCTCTCAGACAGCTGTGAATGTCTCATCTCCTAAATGAATGTAAGATAGGGGTATGGGGGAGGGAAGATGCTGAGACAGTAAAGAAATATTTTAATCTTTGTTGGCTTGTAGATTAGTCTCAGGATAAGATGTTTTGGGTTGGTTTTTTCTCCCCTCAATTTCTTTTGTACATAGTCCCTATATAAAGGAGATTTATCATGCAAATCTTCAAGTGAAGCAAACAAAGGTGAGGATGAACAATTTAGCAATCTACTACCTGTAGTTCAACAGAATGCTATGAAGAAAGAAGCGGAGTATTCTGATCTAGAGAATACAATTTATATACAGAGTCAAAACATGGACAAAGGCAAAAAAAAGATAAATGATACAACCATTAGAGATGAGAAGCAGACAGCTCTGAGTACCTCTGGCTGAAGAATGAGCTAAGATTCCACAACAAATGCATGCCACACACTTATTGTTTTTAAGGTTGTCCTGAAATTTTGGTGATGTTTTATTTAACCCAGTGAATGTTCTTCATCTACATTATTATAAAATTCGCTTTTTTTTTTTTTTTTTTTTTTTGGCAAGTTTTTTTCAATCAAATTGGACAACCAACGCAACAGAGTTAATTCAAAGGAAGTGACAAGAAAGTGGACAGGACCAGTAGTTCTGCCAACCACAAAGCTGCCCTTTAAACTGTCCCCTGCTGACTCCTTGGCATCCCACAAACTCCGTAACCGTGCAGATGTCTGACACAGTTAGGGTCTCTCAGACAGCTGTGAATGTCTCATCTCCTAAATGAATGTAAGATAGGGGTATGGGGGAGGGAAGATGCTGAGACAGTAAAGAAATATTTTAATCTTTGTTGGCTTGTAGATTAGTCTCAGGATAAGATGTTTTGGGTTGGTTTTTTCTCCCCTCAATTTCTTTTGTACATAGTCCCTATATAAAGGAGATTTATCATGCAAATCTTCAAGTGAAGCAAACAAAGGTGAGGATGAACAATTTAGCAATCTACTACCTGTAGTTCAACAGAATGCTATGAAGAAAGAAGCGGAGTATTCTGATCTAGAGAATACAATTTATATACAGAGTCAAAACATGGACAAAGGCAAAAAAAAGATAAATGATACAACCATTAGAGATGAGAAGCAGACAGCTCTGAGTACCTCTGGCTGAAGAATGAGCTAAGATTCCACAACAAATGCATGCCACACACTTATTGTTTTTAAGGTTGTCCTGAAATTTTGGTGATGTTTTATTTAACCCAGTGAATGTTCTTCATCTACATTATTATTCTTGGTACACTCAGTTTTGCATTAAGGATCAGTTCTTGCTCTGATTATAAAACATTCTTTCCATAATTAAAATCAACACACACAAATTTCAAATATATTCTTATATTCATTATTCAGTGGTCAAAAGCTTGTGGTGTTCAAGTACAAACACAGCACACCCCAACATTTGCACTCTCAGCCAGCAGAAGTATTTTGCACAGGCACCCTTTCCTGGCCACATGCAACGTTCAAAGTCTCTTCCTCTGTCTCAGTCTCTTTCACAAATGCTGTTGGTGGCTAGCACATAAGTGAGCCATAATTTAGTGATGAGAAGCATCCAGCTTTGCTATGAGGGACTTTCTCCTTCTCAGTCTTCCAGATGCCCACTCCACGCTTGTTGTGAAACAGCGCAGGGTTTAAGCTGCTTCTTTTAGTCTGATCAGTTTATAAAACCTTCACTGAACAAAAGCAGGGAGCAAGCTCCATCTCCAAGAATGAGAAGAGTAGCCACTATCTCAACAGTGATCTGGATAGCAAAGCCACTGCCATTTACTCCAAAAAACACATCTCAGGTCTTAGCTATATTACCATTATGGACTATTTTAAGACTACTCCATATTAGTAGCAGTTAATCTTCCCAAGTCAATTATCAGGATAGGAAAATACCTTTCTTGCTGATAAAGCTTTTTCTCCCTACACCATGCTAAAGAAAAGGCACTTAAATTCCACTGGCAATCACTTAACAGCTAAGGAACCCAAACGGTGAAGAACTGAGAATAACTTCTACTGCAGACAAATTTTAGGACTGAGAGAAGTAATGTGCCAACAGCTGATCTGCTTGTGAAAGGGAGAACTCAGGGTGACGTGCTTCCGAACAGCAACAGCCACATATTTCTCCATATGGAGGACTGTATTTGTAGAGCCTGCAAACAGACTCTGCACCAACTACACTCCCCAACCCTTTTCCATCACAGATCTGACTTGCAGACCAGAAGTTACATGCACCTGTAAATACAAGTGTTCTTTAACCCTAAATTCTGTCAAATTCTATCATATTTTTTATGCTACTCAGTCGTGCACCAAAAAAACCCCACAGCTTCTAGTTTGGGACCCACTGCTCTGCATGTACATCACCAGCAGCTCTGTACCAGCTGCTGCTTCCCTGTCCCATCCCATCAGCTGCTCCCCCATTACCCAGCCCAGAGACAACTGCCAACACGCTTCACATCTTCTTTCATAATCACAGCTTTCCACAGTACGCCTTATAAACTGCCCATAACGAGTCTATAAGTGTCATATGCTCTGAATTATGAAAGTCTAGGAAAGGAATCACAGAAGCTTGTGGTTAAATCCCAATCCCAAAATTCCCATAAATTTACACAGATATTTAGTGCTTTGGAATATGTCATGAATGCTGTACAGTTCAAAGAACTTCAGAGAAATTCAAAGCTGTGATTGCTGAGATCAACAAAGTACTTCAAACAAGCATAGGTAAGCATCACAGATAGAGTGAATTTCAGACCAGCATGATTAATCTGATCTGCAGTGTTCTTACAGTAAGTCTTCAAGGTACAATACGCAAAAATTCTATCGCTGAGGCAGAATCTTACAGAAGACAAATCTACAAATGACACTCTCATTTAACTGCTGTTTCTCCTGATATCAAGCAAAGCAAAATTCCTTACTCTGGACTAGGAACTATTTATACATCTAAAGTTAATTTAAGTCAGAATAGAGAGGTATATATCTTTAAAATATATTAATGTTCCTTCCTCTCCAATTCAGGCAACACAAGTGGCAGACTTTTACGTGTATTTATAAACAGCTGTAGACAGCAGAATAAAAATAATCTTTCAGTAACTCCCCATTAATGTATGCTTTTCATCAACCATAATGAAACAAAACTATGTTCCTTCTCTTATATTATTCTTCAACTGACTGAGGAAAAATAATACAAATAACTAAATACATGTAGTAAACTTACACAAAACACAATAACTAAGGTAGGCTACATTTCCATATAATACTCAAGCGAAAAAAAAATAAATCAAAACATATCACCATACATTTTTAACCTGGATACAAAGTAAAAGTACAATATTTGTGGAAAACGAAAGACAGGATAAGGGCGAAAAAGTTACTGCCAAGGTTACTTTAAAAAAAGGTGGCCAAGCCTTTATGCTGCTAAATCCACACAAAGTATCTTGGCAGGCAATAAATGGAAGAAAGCGAGTTTATTGTATTCACACAAATTGTCCACAAGGAGTAAGCAATATTCCTTGAAATTCGCTTCATTTTTTTATGTCTATCCTTAAAATAAATTTAAAAAAAATCATTAAAACGTCAAAACGTTATTAACAGAAATATCCTATAGGAATAGCCAACGGAATTCACTCCTAGACCATTTTCTAACATACCACTTGCCACAGACAAATAACATGCCTCTCATTTCTAAACCACAGGTCTAGAATAATCTAATAATTTCTGTCACGTTTTTATCTAAAGGTTCATTCGTATTCCGAATAAAGGCATGAAACCTTGTAAAGAACACTTAACACTCTTTACAAAGATTTAACCCTTCCTGTAAGCTGCTAACATTGTTCCTTTCAGTTCTGCATTTTCGTATTTGAAACGCCAAATGACTGATCAATGGAAAATATTTTACCGCAGAAATAACTTATTTCTTCTCTAATTGCTTAAAATGAGCCTACAATTTTAAAGTAAATCCATATCCTGAAATAGAAAATTTGAAGATATTGATTGCTTCTTTTTTAACTCTAATAAAAGAATAATTTTCCTGTCTAAAAGACAGACACCATCTCCACAGTGAGACACTGCATCTTTATGATCTATATTCACACCATTGGTAGAACTATTAATAAAAAATTTAAATTTAAAAGCATATTCCTGACTAAGAATAGAAGGATTTAGAAATGCAAAATTAAATAAACATTTTTAAATGTCTCTACTTACTTACTCTGTATCTTCTTATCACCAAGAAAACATTTAGCACATGCATAATTTTTAAAAGCAAAATGAAATACCTCCAAAGTTAAAAAGAACTTGAATCACCCTAACAAACGTGAAAGTTTTAAGAATAAAAACATATTTTTAATGGAGAAAAGACCCAGAAAGCTAGATAATATGTGTAATGAAAGACACCTTTTTCCACTTCAAGCTTGCAACAAATTTCACTCAAAATGAGGCTTATATTTTTCACCTGCAGACTAGATTACAAATCTGAATGTGAAAACTGTATTTCCAGCTTGGGCTAATATGTCTGCATTCTTCACGTTAGACTGTCATAAACATTCAGCCCAATTCCCAGGCTGACTTCCTGCCAGTTTAGGGCTTTATTTTTTAACTAACATTAATTGCAAACATCACAAGAGAGCAATTTCATGTATGTAACACCCAATTCATATCATCAAGATAAGGATGTAGCGTGCAGGAGCATCAATTGTGGTACAAATCCAAATGACATTAGACTATTCAAATGAGATTCTGGATTACAAGAAACTTCATTTTGACACATCTGTCACTGCTAACAAAAAAAAAAAAAAAAAAAAAACAAAAGAAAAAAAAGAAAAAAGAAAAAAATCACACTCATCAGACACTCCTTTTCATACACCAGAGCACCTCAGTACCTATATAAACTTCAAGAGACCACCTTCCACCATATATCATGAATCCATGTTTCATTAAGCATGCTAGAGATTGCTCTTTAACCAAAAGAGTTATGGGGATTTTTAAAGTGAGTCAAGGATGTTGTCACCTCAAGGATCTAGTCAAAATGTCATGTAAATCCAGCTTAAACTTTTTAAGCAAGAATGGCCTTATATTGGCTTCCTGCTTTGGAATATTTGTTATTAAGAATTATTCTAAAAATAAATGAGTGGCAAAAAAACATGGCATGAGTTCTTCTTTCCCAAATGTGAATCCAACCTAAATTTGGTTAGAAAAAGAGCAGTTCATTAAAACAAGCTGCGTTGAGAAGTTCAGAAAAGCATGCACACGACTGGTAGTTCCTACCACAGCTTCTTTTTGCCTAACAAACTGGTCCCCAAGTCCCTTGAGAGCAGTAATCCCAGCTAGGTCATAGCATATCTGAATATACAATTTTATCAGTTTTGATAGCCCTTGAACTGATATAGCTTGACCTTTATACTCTTTGCCAAAAGCCACTAACAACCTTATGAACTTTCTTAAGTATTTAGTCTTGTCAAGATATTAGCTGACAACCCTTTAAAACCCAACATTTGCAATAAGCTTTCCAAAGAAGATGTTAATACATAAGGAAAACATATGTAGATGAAAATTCAAAAGCACTTTTGTCAAGATTTTCGAAGAGGCCATAGAAACATTTCTTTCCTGACAAAAAGATGCATAAAAAGGCTTTCCCACTCAAGCACACTGTTCTGGGTTTACCTGACTGATGTTATTGTTAATAATATGCTAATAATATGCTCTTGTTATATTGTTAAAATTGCTTCTATTGATGAAAATTATGATAATTAATATTTTGCCAATGGGAGGAGAAAAATGAAGGGAAGACTGTCAGGCATACACAAGATCTTTAAGTTTTCAAGTCATGATCAGTTCTCAAAGATCCAGAAATGCTTACTCCAAGATTTCTTGCCTTCTAGATAGACAAGTTTCAGCAAGGAGAACTATTGCTCTGTTATTTAAATTAAACTGGTATGTTTACCCACTTAAACTACTGCTTCTGCAGAAACAGAGAACTTTTACTTAATACAGACTTAAGGTAAAACAAATTTTGTTGCAGGATTTATACTTTGTCCCTGGCAAAATACAGAGCGAGTATTCTCTCCTTTCCTTCTTCACCATCCTGCAATATTCTGAAATCACAAGTAAGCACTATCTATTGCCACTACTTCAATATATAGAGAAAACATTTGAATATAGAAGTGTAAGTAAGTTCTGTTTGGGTTTTTTTGTTAGATCCATGAGTATATTTCTAGAACAGAGCAAAATACTGGGAAAAAAATAAAAATTAAAATCCCCATGAGGAGACAATCCCCCTGTTCTCTTCAACATACAGTTTTTAAAACCCAATGTGAGCCTGCTCCAGTCCAGGAACCATACATTTCCATTGGTCAAGCTCAGAGGAACGTAAAGTGTTAAAGAAAAATCCCCATACTTAGAAAGCTATATAATGATCACCAACAATAAAATGGTGCATGAATAAACACGCTTGTTCACAGTCTACAGTTTGAGGTGTGTCCTATTACCAGTGAAGCTACTACTAGCCAATTAAAAATGCCAAATAAAATGATGAACGTGGGAAGTGATGGCAACAGAAGTACACAAATATCAGATGTCAGAGCAAGATCAGCCTGACATTCCCTTCGCTTTTGTACTGCTGGCACAGGTGAACCTCCTACCTTAAAACTCAGACAACTAGTAAATCAAGTAAGTGGCACTGAGTGTTGCAAACCATGGCAGGGAACTACGGAGGCTGAATGAAGAAGTTCAGGGCTGCAGCATGAAGGATTGCAGACTTGCTCAGCCTAAGTTCTACCTAAACGCCCTCTGAAGACCTAAAACCAGGGAATAGAGACACTGCATGAAGAGATTAGGTAGACTATGAGCATCTGGGTAAATCTGTAGCATTCCCCAGCAGTTCACTGGAAAAGTCCGTAAGCAGAAAAAACACTGTACCTACTTCTATTACACACAGGCATATTTTCAAATGGAAAAGTTTTCTTTTGAAGTCTTCTAGTGTCAAAAATATAAGCTTGGAAAACGGAAAATTAAGGCTTTATAAAGCTCTAAACAATTTTGTATTTGACTTTTCACCCAGCTGCAAATTTAAGCCAATTTGCAGATAGTGCTGTGGGGTTGGTTTTTTGTTTGTTTTGGGTTTTTTTGTTTTGGTTTGGTTTCTTTCTTGTTGCTTTTTTTTATAACCTTGCAAAAATGCCACTTAATGATGGTCACTTGTTTGTGTTAGATCCTAGTTTCTAAGATTGACTTTAATTTAAAGGTCTCAGTTAAATAAAAATGCACTTTACAATTTTGATGACTCGGGGTCTCCAGAGTATCTTCCGTTGTGCACAAAATGCAAAATCCTACCCCCTCAGCAAGGCTAACTAGGGGCGGCAAAACAAGAATTGATTCAGGAATGATAAAGTTACTGTTGTAATGATACCCGTCCAGGCAAAACCAAGTTATAGATGTGTACAAAGCAGAACAAGAAAAAGGAAATCAAAGCAGGAGAAAAGGGGGGGAAGGGGAGGGGAGAACACGAACACATAGTAACGAATGAGAGCTATAAACTTTTCTGTTTTGCTAAAGCTACTGAGAATTTATTAACGCTTCTTCAGAGGGTTAATGGGGGGATACAGATTTTGTTGGGTTTTTTTGGTTTGTTTTGCTTTAGTATGCTTTTTTTAAAATGCAGATATCTTCATTTCTGTAATATAAAACAGATTTCTTCAATAGGCATAAACCATTTCTGTAGGAAGTGAAAATTTTTTTATTCTTTTGGTTTGCAAATTGGGTTCCAAATTATCTTTGAGTTTTATAAGAAAGATTAAGAAGAAAATTGAATAAAATATAGATCACTTCCAAAAAGCTTTTAGAACTTTATGAATACCAACATGTAATTAAAAATTTTATTAAGATTACAAGTAAATCTGTTCGGGTTTTTTTTCATTTATATCTGAAGGATGCTAAACAGAAAGCTATTAGAAATATAAAATAAATGCTCATATTTGCATTCTGTTACAGGTACAGTCACTAGTATTTTCATTCAAGCTCTGCCACTTCAGTGAAATGTACCTCCCCAAAAAAAAAAAAAGAAATCAGACAGGCTGCTTACTGTAACAAACAACTAAAAATAACATCTAAGTTTATTTGTAACTATGCCCTAGTTACACAAAACACTGGAAGAATGACTAATGAGTTTTATATTTGAGGCCTGTATAAGATCTTAGGAAGTACTTGAAACTTAAATGATGGTTACCTTAAGGACACGCTATACTCAGGATAAAAGATGCTTTTATACTGAACCCAGGTCCCAGTTTCCTCTTCTGTATTCTGGTCTTCTATTGAAAAGAGATTGAACGATGCAAACCTTCTAACAGAGACTTGCTGGAGATGCACATCTTTCAAGTGCTTTTTCTTCAGAACCTTTGAAATGAAGAACAAATTAAACATTAAGAATAAAACTTTCAAAAAACAAGTAAACACAGGCTGATTTAACTGAAGAGGCAAGTCCGGAATGAAGCATAATAGCTATGCCATTAGCTAATAGCTATGAATAACTAGTCCAAGTATGTCAAGCCTGAGAAAATAACAGTGGTATTGATGGTAAGGGTCAAGAGAATGGGTTATGAATTTATTATATCTCAATAACTGGAAGGTAAAATGTATTGTGTTCATAAGTATACACAGTTGCTTTTTTAATTCCCACTCCAGCGAACCCATGCCAGAATCTGAGAGGCAGACTGGATTCTTCCCTATCCTCCCCTCACCACTGTGAAACGTTCTGTGCCACTTACTGTCCCTGTAGATTAAAAAAAATATGAGTGATACATGTTTGCCAGGTATACTACGTCCTAGCTTGCAAGTGTACTGCATCACACTTGCAGAACTGCTGCCAAACTTGCTACCTATCCCAGGCCCCAGACTTTCAGATGCCACAACTGCACATTCCCCTGCCAGGCCCCTCTAAGGGCACTGATGCAATAGCCAGCCTTTACACAATCCCCAAAATACTCCGACAGCACCAAGTTCAGCCCAAAGAGACTGAAGAATTCAAGGCAGAGGCAGAATCTGGCCATCTGCATTTTGTGTAATAGCTAAATGATTAAATCACTGGTTCAGGAAAGTAAACACGGGCTCTCTGTCCTGCACAGTCTGCTGCACACAACCATGTCTTCTCCTTGGGGAGTGAGGTATCAACTCCTCCGTGCAGGACAACCCAGCACCCAGCCCCTTTGAGCTGCACCATCGCACAGAAGACAAGCAGCATCTCCCTGCCAGACAAAAAGGCTTATTCTTTAGGTCAGGAGCAATGTCCTGGGTTTAACTTCTTTCTCCTAACGCTGGATGGAATTACATAAATAACTGCCATTGCATTTTTAAAATGAAGGTGCATAAGCAGTCCACAGTCACAGGAAAAAAAAGAAAAAAAAAAGGAGAGGAAAATAAACTCATCACTATAAATAGACAGAGCCACAAGAAATAGCTCTGTTGAGCATGAAAGCACCACAATTTAGTTTTTGATAACCAGAGCTAAATCTGAAGTCAAATGAGAAGTAGCTGACCAGAATTATGAAACTGGACATGGAAGCTTTGCATATGGGATGCATACAACAAAATAAAAGTCAACCTTTGTTGACCATGCTTTAACTGGAAATGCACTCACACCCAACAGTCTTACATTTTGGTGCCATGGCCTATTAATTTGCAGAATACTTGGAAATACTACATATGCAAGCAGAGCAATTGTGTTTGCTGTGCTGTTAGTTTCTAACAGCAGGCCTGATGCATCAGGCTTGCTGCTTTTGGATCTATTTTCATCAGCAAGCTTCAGCATAGGAAAGGCATAGACATTTTCATCAAAGTATTAAAAATGGCTCTGTGCTGTCCACACTATTTCTTCTACCTCTGCAATACATGGGGAAAATACATACATGAAGGAAATCACAAAACCAGCAAAACAGAACCAAATTAAAAGACTAGTCAAATTGAGACATTTGTACAATAGCAGCATGCCTGGAAACAAAACAGACCAACTTGACAGCTAAAGAAAAATACCAAGACCTAATTTTCAGAAAAGCATGTTGTTTTGAGGATTTTTTTTTTAAAGCAAAGGCAAGCCATTACTGGCAGGCAAAAAAAAAAAAAAAAAAAAAAGCAGTGACAACACTTCTCTGGTTTCAGTTTTTTGTTCTACATAGTCATCTTCTAACCACTCCATAAAATGCATTCTCTGAAATCTCATGAGCATTTGAGTACTAAAAAAACCACTTCTCCCACAGCCTCCAACTAAAATCAAGAGGTCTAAGATCTGGAAATTACAATAGCAGGTCAAATCTTTAAAAAACCTATATATAACTGAGAAAACAGAGCACAAAGGAAGAATATGTTAAATTATTTATATCTAACTCTTGTATTTTTACTTAAGCATCACAATTGTGTTACAAGCTACAAAGATAAGCTGCTGCTGCTATAGGACAATCCACTGACAAAAACCAGAAGGTGACCTATTAAAATTTATCATAATGTTCTGAAGGCATTGAAAGACAGTCTTCTCTGTTTTCATGACGCTCTTCCAATGAAGGTGAAGCTCCCTAACTTCCTGCACGCTGCCATAAGAAATAAACATGTCGCAGGGACCTATAACACCAGTAGCCAATATCAAAGCAAGCTAAAAGCTTTGCAGCAAAAGAGTCACAATTCTTGGTTTTAGTGATGGCAGAGAGAAAGAACTATGGTGGGGAAGGAATCACCAGACACCACTGTTCTTTGGCTAGGGTTATAGCCACTTTATCTCCTCCCTCAGTAACATTTAGCCAGGTTTCCCTGCGTATTTTTATTTAAAAAAAATCCAGAAGCTTTCTTTCACTCTCTTCAAGATCTTTTGGTACCGACAGGCCCCGTCTTCTGCACAAGATCTTTACAGGTATATGCAAGTGTTTGATTTGTACACGGGTCATACACACAAATATTATTTAAAGAAATAATATGAATAATGAAATATTCTCTTTCGAAGAAAAAAAAAAAAAAAAAAAAAAACAGCACCAAGAACAACAACAAAAAAAATCACACCAGACAATGCAAGCTCACACTTACACCTTGTGGTTTTCTTTCTCACACTTGCATTTTCTTTCCTCTCTGTCTTCACCTAGCAATACAGGATTCTAGGGCTATACTTTCTTCACTAACATACAAGATATTAAAAAAAACAAACCACACCATCTTCAAACTGCCTCCTGTTTTAGAAAGGTAAAATAGTAAAAGTAAAAAAAAAAGTAAAATATTGCCACAGATCTCAGTTGCAGGACCCTCAGTATTTAACGACAATATTAGGATCATATTTAGGACTCCCTATAAAATCTCAAGGTGTTTGATCTCTCTTAAAAAAAACCACCCAACAATAACCAACCAAACAAAAAACATATGGAGAAAGGCGGTCACCTGAAATTCCCTGTATTTCTTTGTGCATCTCATTTTGTATAACCTCGTTGCACTAGAAGCCAAATTCAGATAACCAACCAAACAAAAAACATATGGAGAAAGGCGGTCACCTGAAATTCCCTGTATTTCTTTGTGCATCTCATTGTGTATAACAGCTGATGGTCTACAAACTTCCACTGAGGTCTATGGCACTGACTGGAACATGATATTTTGTACATGCAAGAAAGAGTCTACATAATCAGCTACAGCGTAATCTATAACTACACCATCTCTAAAGATCATCAGTAGGACTGTGCATTGTTTATTTTTACAAATAGTTTATTTATCAAATTGTTCTATTCAACTGTAAACAGCTTACAAACTCAAGACAAACAAAACCATGGAAAAAGATCTGGAGCACTGAGGGAAGAGCAGGAAGAGAAGAAAAATTGTTTTAGACAGTCTTCTGTTGAGAAAAAAAAAAAAGTGCCACTTTCCTGTCCTCACTTTAGCCTTTATTTTTCAATTCTGGAAACTAAGGCACATTAGCAGCCAAGCAAGACTTCTGTGAGAAGATGGGCAAGAGGAAGGTAACAGGAAGGATCAACATATAAAGCTTACAGATTCCAGGAATGTTTTCACTAAACTTTCTACACGGAGTAAGTGTGCATATAGGGAGCAATGCCTATTCCTCTAACTTCCCTGCTAAAGACTACAGACTGGATAATGCCATCAATTGCACAGACTGGCAGAGCTCAAAACACAGCAGTAGAGAATTTAATCCATTCATTTATAAATGCACACTACATGCCAAACATACCTTAGCTTTTTTTTTTTCAAGCAAAAAAAAATATTTTCCTTGATTCTGACAAGCTAAGTTTAAAAAATATTGCCAAACTTCAAACTCAGTACATACATAAAACATTTTATTGATAAAAAACACATAGGTAATTATGCAAAACCCTGGTTCTTTATGCTAGCTTCATAGGATACCTGATAAAAGGGCTTTTTTCTTAATTAAATCAGCGAGCACGCACTCAAGCATCCTTACCATAGCAAATCAATTTGTGTATGCACTGAATGAAAGCAAATTCAATATATAAATACACCACAGAACTGATTTCATGTAAGGGGTTATTATAAGCAGTATGAAAAGCATTTTTAAAAGCACTGTAAGCAACACTTTGACAGTGCTCCTTTAAAGATGGATAGAAAGGAAGGTTTCTCCCAATCCATAGATAGATCCAGGCATCACTATAGTAAAGAGTGCAGAACTGATTTTTATTTCAGATGTACCAGTAAGATTAAATTGATCCTTGCTCATCGTACCATACAAAAATCAACAGAAAAGCTAAAGAACATGGAAAAACCCAGGGAATCTGCAGAAGAAAAGGTCACAGATATGTATAGTTTGAGGAAGACACAGCAGCCTTCTCCCCAGATACCTGCATGCACCCCAAATACCTGCACTTGATGGTTATGAAAAGTTCCTTCTGAATTTAAGAGACAGGGATATGCCAAAAAGATATGTTCAAAAGAAGCAACAGCTAGTACAGCTGCAGAGCACAGCTCGCATAGTCTGCTGGAGCAGAAACTTACGAAGACAAACCTGATACTCCTTCCAGCAACTTTGATGTTTCCTGCTTTAGAGTGTAACAAAACAGAAGTTTGTCCTGTAGAACAGGACAGGGGAGCTTGGAAAAGCGGAAACACACACAAAGCAAAGGTGGAAACTGACCTGACCTCCCCGCACCTGCCGCTCCATTACCAGGCTGCAGCCAGGTGCCCCTTCAACCCAGCTGCTGCCATCAGGCCACGCTGCCAGCACCCTGCCCTCAAGGGACAGCCCGGTGCAACTGAATGTTTAGGTTAGGCCTGTAAATATCACTGTCAATAGCAACTAATGAAACTGACCTCGGTTTTTAAGCACGCACCAACCTTCCAACCTGAATCCCTTCCAACCTTGCAGTGGTCCTAGGGTCCAAAACAAGCGTGGCCGCCCAGAGCACAGGTGTAACCACTTGCTGCTTCTCCCTCCCCAGGGCCATTTTAGTTGCCAGGTGAGGGGAGTTTCACCCCAGCTCTCCCCGAGAGGCGGCCTGAGGTGATGCCAAAGGGATCCAGGATATGAGCCACAATAACCAGCTCCAGCAGCACCCACGGAGGTGCCAAACTGCTGCTGAAAACACCTGGCTGGTGCCCACAGGCTGTGGGGTGCCAACGGGGTGCTGGCCTTCCTCCCCTTCATACTGCTTGTAAGACCACAGACTTTTGGGATCCACTGAAGGTGCTCTTAAAAGAGCCACGTGTGTGTTTATGCATTTTTACTGTTTTTTTCCCCAGGAAGAGGACTGCAAACCCCTTTGCAAGCCCCAGCGAACTAGTCCTCGCAGTCCTCCCGTCAGGGGTGCGGGCAGCCCTTCTCAGCGCGGCTCTCCGCACGCCTACAGCGCCCGCGGGGCTCCACACCCGCACCCCCGCCCGGGTCACAGCCGGGGTGCCGAGAGCCACCGGCCACAGCCACCCGCGACCGCCCGCCACCCCCGCGGTCGCGGCAGCCCAGCGCCGGAGGAGCAGGAGGGCACCACGAACTCCCCCGGCCCAAGGCAGCGCCGCCGCCTCAGGGCACGGGACCGCCGTTCCGCAGAGACGCGCTCCCCTCCGGCTGCGCCGCCGGCCCGCCCTGCCATCCCCTCCCGCCCGCGGGCTCCCCCTACCTGTCCGAGCAGCCGCCAGCGGGCTCTGGCCGCTCCCGCACCCCTCGCCTCGCACCTGCCCGCGGCGGGGCGGCGCGGAGAGCCGGCAGCCTCGGCCATGCGGCGGCGAAGAGCACGCAGGACCCCAGCTGTGCGGGCGGGGAGCGGTGCCCTGGCCGGCGGGGACTTGCCG